AGTAACAGTCCAGAAAGGATGTAAATTTAAGGATAAAATATGAAGTATGTATTGCTACAAGAGAAGGACCTTTGATTTTTTTTGTTTTTTTGTTGTTGTTGTTCCCTGCCGCCAACTTTTAAACTGTCTGTGCTCTTTAGCTCGTGCCACTCAGCTTCTTGGCACGTCTGCTGTTGCACAAATATATGTGTCCTTGGAACACTCTCTTAAACTATTCAAGTCATGCTGAAAATTATTTGGAGTGGCTTCAGCCTATTTATCCGTCAGCAGCAGGGAGTTAATGAAGCAGTTACAAATTTATCTTAATTAGAGGAAACCTTAAATAAGGGACTTTTTCTTTCTTTCTCTCTCTCTCTAAAGACTGAAGAGTTAGCCTAAGACATCACTCACTGATTTGCTGGAAGGGAGTTAAGTTTTGTTCTAGTCTCCTGTGGTATTGCTTTTATTCCAAAACTGGGAGTTATTTATAGGTTATGTGGGGCCAGCTGGTCTGGTTCATATCTCTGCAGCTTCCCTGACACTAGTGTGGTGTTAGAAGAGGCATTGAAGCAGAGCTGTGTTGAGTTTGTTCCTGTCTTTTCAGTGGGAGAAGCACCCTTACTACGACCTAACAGTGAAAGTTCTCCGTGCCAGAAACATCAGGGGTACAGATCTGTGTAAGTATTTAATCAAGGTGTTAAGAAAGCTGATATTCTGTTCAGTGAATGCCTGCAACACAAGTAGTACTGTTACGGGAACTTCGTATTGCTACACACAGTATATTGCCCTTATTTATATCTAAGAAAGAAACATGTCTCAAGAAATGGAATAGCAATAAAGACATTGAAGTTAGTTCCCTTTTTCTTAAAATTTGAATTGTTCTGTCATCTAATACAGTATTAGATATTTGCAAATGAAAGTGTTCAGGTAAAAGCTCTGTTTCCTGAAGTAAGTTCATGGCAAATGAACAGAAGGAAGTTCTTAAGGAACTAAATTGTGTGATGGTGAAAGAATGATTTTGCTTTGGGCCTGATACCACACAGTAATCTTTTCTGAAAAGAGAAGTTCTCCATGTATTTCATACAGCAGTTCCCTTTTTACAGAGCTTTATGCTTTGGATGAAAATAAAAAAATACATATTAACATGTGGCAGTCAGTTTGCCGTTGTTTAAAGATATGTTTTGTTCATTCTCCAAGCTTTTTCCTAAGTTCAGCTTTAATTTTACACATGCTAATGATTGCAACAAGAACCAGAAAGTAAAGAGCTTTTGGGAAAGGACACATTTGAGTAGAGTAGTTCTGAGATCTCTCTGCATCTTTGCTGCAGTGTCCAAGGCAGACTGCTATGTGGAACTGAAACTGCCCACTGCGTCTCCAGCAGTATCGCGAACTCAGGTTGTCGACAATTCGGATAACCCAGAATGGAACGAAACTTTCCAGTATCGAATCCACAGTGCTGTCAAGGTGAAGAGCCTGCTTTGGGGAGCTGGTTGGGCTATGTATATTTGCTTGCTCTTCATATTTCATTCAAAACCAAAGCATCTTTACCCTCAAAAACATTTCTTTTTAACTAAGATGGCTCTCAAAGTATTTTCAGTGGTACCAAACACTCTACCATACTTGTCCAGTGATAATGACAGCGGTTTGTGACTTCATACTCTTTTGCAAATCACAGCTAGAAGAATTTTCTGTGAATGTCCTTACAACTCAGAGAAGTTATGATATTACCTGATAGAAGAATTTTCTGTGAATGTCCTTACAATTCAGAAAGAGAAGTTATGATATTACCTGATTGAGTTTGAGGAATTTGCCTGACAATGGAAACTGTTATTTCAGGTTTGCTTCTACTTCCACATTGTAGCTGTTGTCTTCTTGTAGCTGTACCTGCCCTAAGGTCCTATACAGTATGTAGCATGATCAGCTTAGTAAGAAAAACAGGCGCTAGGCAAATTCACATCACTGCCACTTAGCAAGACTTGACCAAATGAACTATCGTCTCCAGTGATGGAGGAGAAAAGCAAAGTTCAAACTCCTAGCCTGGGTCACATTACATCTGTATGCTGTCCCAGCAGGTTCTAATGAAGAAATTAAAAAAGTTTTCAGATTGTCAGCATATTTGTTAAAATGAACATTAGAGGCAGAGGAGAGAAAACTTAAAAAAAAAAAAAAAAAAAAAAAGAATATTTTAGCTTGGCACCATTGCTCTAAAAATTATTTTTGCTTTGCAAAGGGATATTTATTAACAAAAAATGATTTTCCCCCACTGTTATACCTTTCTGTAATGATTTGATGACCAGCCAAAGCGTTGTGTGTTTGCAATTTTCTTGCAGTTTGTCCAAAATTCCAGAGCGTGCAAGTATCTTATTTCCCTGCAGGCTCTTGAGGCCTCAGCTTGACTCCAGCTTTGAGGCTACATCAGCACAGGTCTAAACTAAGCCTTGAGCGTGTCCTTGCTGCAGGGCTGTTGGGTGAGCTGTGTAGCTCCTGTCTGTTTCCATTAGTTGCCTTTGGGCTTTCCTGCGTGCGGAGGTGGTGCTGAGCAGGAAGCAAGGAGTCCTCACGCATCCCACCTGAGTCATGCTGCGGCAGCGCAAATTGCTGCTCCTTCCTCAGGCAAACCTGTGCAGGGCTGAGGTGCTGGAAGGCATCCCGTGCACGGCAGCTGGGGCAGCTCGCTTGTTTGGGCACTCAGGAAGGTTTTTAGCTAAACGTGGTTGTTTAGAGCATTTGTGCCCAAGGGTGCTGTAAGCCCTGGAGGAAGCAGTGAACCCTCTTCAGAGATGGGAAACGGGAGATAAATATATATATATATTTATATATATATTAATGTATATATAACTTCCATTGCATCCAACCATCAAGGTTTTCTTTCATCATCATCTCTTATATAATGCTGTTTTTCTATTTGTTTTTAGAACATATTGGAATTGACCCTTTATGACAAGGACATCTTAGTTAGTGACGAGCTCACTACCGTGGTCTTCGATGTAGGGGGTATAAAGCCAGGCCAGCCCCTGCTTCGCACCTTCTGTTTGGACTCTGAGGTCAGTCCAAATCTCTTTTCAAAGTGAACTCTGAAAAGCTGTAGATCATTACAGAAATTGGACAGTACTTGAAGTGAATCTCTCAATTGCAGAGGTTTGGTGTCTCTTTGAAACCACTTTGAAAAACTGTCATTTTATGGGGAAGCTGTTATTGCATGTTGGTCCATTGGGTCTTGCATAGCTAATGCTGAATGGTATTTGGGTTCATATAGGCTGTGGCTTCTGCAGGGGCAATATAGTTGCTGAATGTCTGAATACCTCTTGTATTTGATCTGCCAGGAGGGATCCCAGGTCATTAGGAATTCAGGCTTCTTATCTGCTTGGATTTAAGTGTAAACAGGAAGCTGGAAGATCCTGATATGAAATCATAAATTCTCCCTAATTAGGGTAGTAGACTCTCACTTGGGTGTGTATGTCACTTGGGTACCTATATCGTTTAAGGCACTGACATAAGTACGTGTTGATTGCCCTGACAAGGCTGTAGAAGCTAGAAGGGAAAATCTTGCAACAGAAGATGACAGCATATGTGTGCGTGCAGTCATCTGGGATTTTTCTACCATCCTAGTGATTTTGTCTTCTGTAGTTTCTTTGGATGTCCAGCTGAAGAAAACTTGGGATGACTGGTCTCTTTCAGAAGATGCTGAAACACCCTTGGAGTGGATTTTCTTTTTTTTCCTTTCCAGTAGGCAAGAAGGGTGTAAGCAAGGCTTAAAATGCAAAGCATTTGCAGTTAGCAGTCACTCTGGGGACTGAGGGCTTGCTTATTCATTTGATCATACCAGTTTGCAACAACGAAGTCGCTTCCTGCAAAGGTTACGTCTCTGTTTAAGTTAAAAACCTAAGAATAGCTTATCTGATAGATGCTGTCTTCAGTTATGTTTAAACTGATCTGTGTGGGTGGCACTGGCACGTATCAGCTGCTCTGAGCTCCTATGTCACCTGCTCATGGCCTGGTTACAAAATAGCGTAGTTAACCCAGCTAAAGCCCTGTCATGAGTCGGATCATCTGAGCCTGCCTCAGACAGCCTACTCTTGTAGGCCTGGATTAAAGGTGAGGCAGTGCTGGGCTTTCTTGAGAAGTCTGGGCCTTGAGCAAGTGTGTTTGGAAGCAGGCTAACTGGTATGTGCTTAGGAGGGAGGTGTTAGTCATGCAGTGCTACAGGTAATTTAAATAGTTTGTGAACATGGGAAGAGGTTCCGTGATATTTCATCTTTCCACTAACTACGTCCAATTTCTAGAATATTAAATGTGGCCCTTGATCTGTTGCTGTGGAACTAGAAAGTGCACCCTTAGTAAGGAGAACAGTATCTATGATAGGTTTTTAACTGGAAGAAAGCTTAATCTGTTTGAAGAACTTGTTTTAATCATATTCAAGGTCAAAGATGACCCATGTCAAACTTGTGTTTTTAAAGGCTAATGAAGAGCTGGATGTAGAATTTTACTTGGAAAAACGGTGAGTTCTAATAAGGAGTTCAATGAACTTGTGCTTTGTGGATGTGTTGCCTTAACTATATTTTCTGTGCAGTGATAGTCTTGTCCTGTAGTAAGACATGCTACTGTCTTACTTTTTTTGTGCTTTTTTCTGAGTTCGTTCACCAAAGACTGATCACAAATGTCCTTAAAATTGCAATCACTAAAATTGTGGATTTTCTGAAGGAATACAAATTTGTTGGATTTTAGGGGAATGACAATGCTACAAAGGGACAACTTTGATGTTTTGAGATGAGCTAATTATTAAGTTGAAGAAAGCTTCCATAGTTAACCATGCAGGGCAGCCACCTGAGTAATATATGTGTATGATAGTCGGTCTAATCTCAACTTGTCCCTAGGTTATCAAAATAACTAAGAAGAGCTTATAGCACGTGCTTATAGTTGCAGGGGAATTTCTTCCTTCAGTAGTGATTTCTTTTTTTTTTTTCCTTGTGAAGGAGAATATTCTTAATGTTGGAGTGTGATTTGCATAGATTTCTCTCACAATGAGGACCTTCCTTTTTTCCCTTGTTATTTGGGCAGTTAGTTTGTAAAGTAAGATGAGGCAAACTAAAACCACAACTGATTTATTTATCTTACTTTAACAGCTCGGATGCCCCTACCAAGATTCTGACCAATGGAGTCCTTGTGGTGAGTGTATACTAATCAGTTAGGTAACATACTGTAATTTACTTCTCAAAGCATTTTATTTTATTTTATTTTATTTTATTTTATTCTATTTTATAATTCATTTTTTATTTTTTAATTTAATTTTTTATTTTATTTTAAATTAACTTGAGAACTGCACTTCTGCCTCCCACATTGTTCCTGTATGGAACAATTATTTACAGTTTACGGTTTTTCTAACTTGTCACAAATTCTGTGTTTTGAAGTTAAGAACTAGTTACTGTTTTGAAGGCCTGATAAGTTAGGAGGGGTTGAGCTACTACAGTAGCTCAACAAAGATGTGAACTTGAACCTTGTAACCAGAGCTGCTTTCTTCTTTTTACAGGTTCATCCTTGCTTGTCTCTGCAGGGCACTCTCAAAAGAGAGGAAAAATCAAAAGAGAAGCAGCAAGGTAGGGTTGCCTGCAGAATTTAAGGCAGGTCTGCTTTTCGGCATATCTGCCCCTTGGGAGAGAGAGGAGACTCGATAATCTGGTTAGAAAGTGCATTTTTATTTGCTACCTACAAAGCTGACTTTTTAATTTTTAATATATTATTAACAGTTAATATAGTATTAAAAATTAAAGCCAAATTAGTTCACTTCTGCAGGGCACTACATGAGATAATCTCATGCATAAATTGCATGCTGGTTGAGATTGGGAGGGACTTCTCTAGATCTGATACAGACCCTGACTTGAGCAGGGTCAGCTAGAGCAGCTTGCTCAGAGCTGTTTCCAGGCACGTTTTGAGTATTGCCAGTGATGGAGTTTCTGCCTCTTTGGGCAACTTGTTCTGATGTTCAGCTAGCATCGCAGTGAAGCTTTTTCTTATGTTCAAGTGGAGTTTTCTGTGTTTCAGTTTGTGCCTATTGCCTCTCATTCTGTCACTGGGCACTGGCAAGAATTCTTGAGAATGGCCTTGTCCTCTTTAACAGGTCCTAGCATATATTTATAAACATGGAAGCTTGGGGTTTTTTGCTTGTCTCCTTAGTCTCAGCTATATTTTTAATGATAGTATTTGATTTTCAACATACATTTAAATATTTCCTGTGATCCAAACTTCCAAGTTTGATGTCCATATTGTCACACAGGGAGCTGTGAGGTCAAGCTGTCTGTTCCAGGGGCATATGAGAAAGAGCTGCATATCCCTTGGGGACCTGACTGTGAGCAGGATGATGGAACCTCATTTGTCTTTCATGTGGACAAAGAAATGCATCCAGAATTGCAAGTGGAGCTGGAGCAAACCATATCTGTCCTACAGGTGAGTAGCTACACCAACAGCCACATTCAGTTTGCTTCTGAATAAACCCACCCTGTCTTTGGTCCATAAGAATGTTCTGAAACATGAATTGGACTGGCTTAAGTTCATTGTAAGAACTCCAGATGTCTGGGACATGAGAGTTTGGTGTATTATTCAAGTAACTGGGCAGAGAACATGAGCTGAAGAGCAGAAATCTGGACTTCAGTAAGCAAAACTTCAGAGACTGGTAGTTGAAAACAGGGTGAAAGTCAACTACAGAGACAGACCCAGATGGCAAACCTGAACCAAATTGATGCTTGGTAGCAAGTAAAGCAAATTGCTTTAAACACTGGTATAGAGCCCAAGGGTCTTCATCTGACCATTTCGTTCTTGCTTGAGGGAGGAGGGAGACAAGAAAGTAGTAAAATCACTTTTCCTATGCCCAATTACTTGTTACTGGCCCTTCAGGGAGAGCGTAATGGGCTGGGAGTGTTTGGGCTGATTCTGCTGTTTTCTTGCCAGTCGACAGCTGGCAAATAAGTAGTTCCTGGTTCTTATCCCTCTCCAGTGCTTGCTGTGAGAGGTGACAAGTTCTTGTTTGTTCAAGCGCTGCCTTGTCTCAAGGGGTGAGGTCTGTTGTGGATGTAAACGCTCCAGCTCAACTAGCAAGTTGTGGGGGTTTGAGTGTTTCCCTCTGTTGAGTGTTTTTTAACATTCCTTTTTTTTAGCCCAGAAATATGCATGCACCACTACTTTAGGAGAATTTAGTAGCCCAAGATGAGAGAAAAACTTCACGTTACCTGACTATAAACTTTCATTTGCTCTGTTTGTAAATATGACTTTATTATTATTATTATTTATTTTTT